TATATTTATTTATTTATTTAAACCACACTTTGTTTGGACAGGATTAAAAACATAAACTGCACTTTTTACTGTAAAAAGTTAATTTATTTCCTGTCCAAGTTCTGTGTAGATTTATAATGAAAGCTTAATTTTTTGTTCTTATGTGGTGTTAGGTTTTAATACATAATTTGCCCCACTGTACTATTTGGCATAGTAGATGCTGTTCCTCTGAGTAGTGGATCAGACGTCCTCTTTGGCTGCTGTCCCAGGCCCCGCTGGTGACGTCCGACTCCTACCTAACACCTCTTTCATGCCTTTATGGCAGGGCTTTAACCTCACGGATAAGAGCTGACTGATGTTGCAAATGCACAGGCACTCTCCCCAACACAAACGCACAAAGAACCATTTATGCTTTAGCGTCGCATCTGCATGGAGGTCTTTACTGGGAGAATTGACGATTGTTAGTTTCTGCCTTTCACGGTTCTGACTGAGGCAAAGCAGAGGCCGAGCATGTGATAAGTTGCATAATGGAGCCTGCATGGGTATTTCATTGATTACATTCTGACTTGCACCCAGGCATTCCAGCACATTTCTCACTGTGCTTTTTGTTTTCTAGCACAGATGCTTTATTGTGTTGTGGTGTAATGTCTTAAAGAACTGATGTTGCATCACTGCAGCTTCATAGCTGAGCTGTTTGTTATATCTGCCTGCCCATATATGACAATAGAAAAACTGCATTAAAAAAATTGTCTTAAGTCACATGTGGCTTTTGCAAGACAACCCATTTCTTCAAAGAACATTGTAGTGTAATGTTTTTGTCCTGTTTAAATGGGTAATTTAGATTTTAATTAGGGTGTTCATTGCTTTATGAAGTAGTATTATGAAAAACCATTTGCTATGTTAATATATTTTAAAATTGAATTTATTCCATTGGTAAAGCTGAATTTTCAGCAGCCATTACTCTAGTCTTAAGTCTCACATGATCCTTCAGAAATCATTCTTTGATTTGGTGCTCAAAAAAAGTGTTTTTTTTTTTTTTATATCAGTGTGGAATTATTATTATTTTTTTTGATGCTTAATATTTTTGTTAGGGATGGGCATTTTTCAAAAAATATTGTATTCAAATATTTGGGCTTTTAAAAAACGAACATTCAAATATTCATTTATTTAAATGAGGTTTAATGAGAAAGACGTTATTTTTAATAATCAAGTTTTTGTCACAATTTCTGAACAAGCATATTATTGGACATTATACACAACCATATTCTACAACAAAGTTACGTTATATCTCAAGGTTTTATTTGGTTGGAAACGTGTGTAAAAAAAAAAATTATATACAGTTGATACTGTCACTTTTGATCAATTTAGTGCAAGGTTCCTTAAATCTTGCTCTGATCAAACTCACCTACCTGTGAGTTTTCTAATGATCCTGAAGACATTGATAGGCATGCTCAGGTGTGTTTGATTAGGGTTAGAGCTAAACTCTTAAAAAAAAAAAAAAAAAGGAGGAAAAGTGGATCTCGTGGGCCAGATTTGAGGATCCCTGATTTAGTGTGTCCTTGCTGAATACACGTATTAATTTCTTTAAAAAAGTGGTCCCTTTTTAAAAGAGGGACGATGAAACATTTAATTTGTATCTTGAGCTTTGAATAAAGATAACATTTTTAAGAATTTCTCGTCTTTATTACAAAAATTACCATTTTTTGACAAGATAACTTTCTCTTCTCACCTACTGTATATTCAAACAACTTTTTCTTTCTTTATACAGTTTTTTCCATTGCTGTTGGAAAAGTGGAGCATAGAAGGCCTGACTTGGTTACCCACGGCTGGATTATGAGTTCTGCAGGTTCAAGGAAGGTGGAGACCCCCACAGGCCTGAACTAGCCTCCACTCTCTTTTACATTATGGCCTCAGCCCAACCGTTCTGGGATCAACACCATGACCACGACACCATGGATAAGTGAGTGTGAGCTGCAGTCCTCAGCTCAACTGGCTGTGTTATATATTGAGAGATCTATTTCTCCAGAATTGACACCTTCCATTTTTTGTCTGTTGTAGGCTGTTTTTTGGAATTGGTTCGGAGTCCATGGACCACAGCTTGAGAATGTATCAGCAAAACTCTGCAAACGTGGGCTTTGAAAGTAAGTGAGTGCTTGATATTGAATTTTATCAACTATATCACAGTCTGGTCACCCTCTGTTCTCGAAGCCTGCTGCGGATGTTTCTTAGGAAGCGCAGAAGGTTATAGGAAGTGTACAATTGTCATTTGCTCTGCTGATAAGTGAATCCTTTGATAAACTCGCTATGTTGAGGCTGACACCATTTTAAGAGATGGAGCCATTGAAAAATACCTTAAATGAGGTGCCATTTTCAAGGGTTTGTGCTTAAATCCTCATTTTTTTCCTCTGTGTTTTACTTCACAGGAAAGACGTCTGGCTCCTGTTCTCCATGTCTATCTCCCAAGACTCCCAATCCTACACAGCTGCAGTGCCACCCACCTGCAGGAGACCAGGTGGTTCCGTCCTTACAGAAACTGTCTGTTTATGAACACATACCCTCTTGTTCGCCCAAGAGAAGAACTAAGCCCCTTCCACCCCTCCCGGACATAGGCGACCTCTCCTCTGATGAAGCAGAAGATGATGAGGTGGAGTTTTTCTCCAGCACCTCTGAGAGCCAATGTCTGGTGCCTAAAACCCCGTCCTTCCAGTACGGCTTGCCGGGGAGGCGCAGTTTTCGGGGAAACGGTCAGATAAATTTTGCGTATCACGAAGGACCTCAATGGGAGCACACAGTTACACAGAACCAAGACAGACCCCAGCGCCGGCTGCATCGCTCCCATTCTGGCCCTGCCGGATCCTTCAAAGCCACCAACTTCAGACCGACCGGACTTCACCGTTCTCCCCACAGCCACCCACAGGAGAAACCCGAAGTCCCGCCTCGCGTCCCAATCCGTCCTCGCTTCAGTGAAAGCATGGACAGCAGGCGGCCATCAACCGATGACTTTGATGCAGACAAACCCCCTAAAGTGCCGCCAAGGGAGCCCATTCCTCAGGTCATACCGCGTGCCATTAGTCCAAAAAGTCTCCCGATTTACGTCAATGGGGTAATGCCTCCTACTCAGAGCTTTGCTCCCTATCCGGAGTACGTCAGTAAGGCTCAACACAAGCAGAGCTGTGAGGGCTTGCCAGCTCCCCGGAGCCCCTGTATTCTGCCCATCATGGAAGATGGGAAGAAAGTCAGCAGTACCCATTACTTCCTCCTCCCTCATCGGCCCGGGTACTTGGACAAGTTTGAGAGGTTTTTCAAAGAATCTGACTCATAGTGATTATTAGTGACTGAGTGGTTAGTTGTTTGCTTGTTTAAAGTGGAAATAAGGAAGACTGGATATGAACTGATATGTTGTTTGACTGAACTGATTCTTCAGTGTTACGAATTACTGGTCTGTTTAAGGATTGGATAAGTATGCATTTGGACTACACACAAAGAAAAACAAAAATAATTGGTTTACCCCTGCTGGAAACTACAGAACAGCTCTGAAAGTGTCCTTTGTTGGAAGGGATGCACGATTAATCAAAATGAAACTGAAGGTGGGGTTTGACTTGAACAAAAGATTTTACAGTCTCCCTGTGGTTTTCTGCCAAAATAAAATATATGGTAGATGGTTTAACAGTTGAAAAGAAGAAATTAAGACATTTAAATTAAGCCATAAAAATTAGTATTGTAATTTTAGTTGTTCTGTAAAATAAGACTATTAGTAATAAATACATTATACTTTACAGTGAGCTATTATAATAGCAATATTTCTTGTTTTGCTTGTATTATTATTATAGTCATATTGATAAGCACAGCAAACCTGGAGCTTTTTTTTAAATTGTATTTTTAATTACAATTGGGTTGTTTCCCCCGAATTGTGCCACCCTGTTTATTGATGTCCATGTTCTTTGTTGTACTATTTCCTTGCTGTGTTGTTAAATTAGAGTGTGCAGTATCCTTTAATGAAGGAATAGGATTAACTGTTACACTGTTAACACTGTGTAACCAGAGTATAAGCTGGTCTGTAACATGGAATGGTAGTTTTTTTCCTATTAAGACATTATACACCAACAGTATAGATTCATATATTGCTAAAAAATGACAAGACTAGTATTAGTAATAGCACTCGCCTGAATTACAGATAATTAAGAGCTGCCAACTTTTATTGGTCGAGGACTATGCCATGTGATTTACACCTGTGAGAAGAAGCGTGATGATCAAAAAGACTTGGTACTAATATAGTGGCATAAATGGAAAGGTCTGGGCACGGGTTAGTATTCTAGCTTTCATGTGAAGAATGCATTTTGCTTTCTTTTTTGGCCATTCAGATGTGACATAAATGCATTTATCATTTGATTTTTAAAGAATGACACTTATGGTTGCATTTTGCTAAGTGAAAACGGATTCATTTGTGTTTAAGTCTTTTTTCTTTGGTCACATCTGTTACAAGGGCAGAAATGCCACTGCCTTGCTGTTTGGTGTCCAAATGCAGGACACTTGGTGTAAATGGCTAGGTTTTTTTTTTAAATACCGTTTACCATGAAGTTAAAGCCCATAACTAGTCCTGGCCTTGTATTTCATGTATTTCTTACCAAACGTTGAGCACACGTGTTGTTGTTTTTTATTGTGATTAGACTTTTTATAATCTTGACATTAGCAGACCAGTAACCGTTTACGTTTTCAGCTACTTATGTTTTGTCCATCCAACAAAATGACTTGGATATTTTCTGTGTGAAGGCTAATGTTAACTGACTTTGTTTCATCTGCTGAGGAAACATGCACTTCTAAAATGTACAGTATTGGTGTAGTTTTTCCACACCAGACTATTTAAATAAAGTAACTTATTTATACACCTATTTCTTGAATTATTTTAATTGCAGTGTGTTGAATTTATTATATCCTGGGGTTTTAAATGAACTGTTCATGGCAAACCTTGTCAAATGCTATCAAAGGACAAACCAAGATAATAACACAAGATAATAAACTCACTCACTGAGACGCACAGAAGTGCGTACACGCAACTTTCATCTCTCTCTCTCTCTCTCTCTCTCTCTCTCTCTATATATATATACATGATCAGTGGATGATTCACTTTTTTTTTTTCTGTTTAAGCCAGTCTGTTCAAGTCAAGTCTGGTTTGTCAGTATGAGGATATGCAGAGAGGTGATATCAGCTTTATTGTGAATGCTGTGTCTTTATCTGTGCTGTTTGCTCAAAGCTGTGATAGTGAGGAGACTGTTAAGCTTTTGAAACTAAAGCCTGAGTCACTTCCTTTAAAATACAACCACATCAATGTGCGAAATGTTACAGGAAAGTGGAATATTTCTAAAGTAAGCTGCCCTCAGTGAGTCACCGCTGGCGTCTATGGTTTCTGTTGTGGACTCCAAACTAAGTGTTATTTCCCTTAATGTAACTGTCAGATCATGTGTATGACCACATTACTACCAAAGGAAGTAAAACGTCTATATGTACATGAAGTTGGGTGTTAATTAGCTGTAATAGTCTAAACTAAACGTTATACCATTTTAAAAGCACGTTGCGCCATCTACAGCTTATAATTAGTAATAAAGCGTTTTGAATTCTGGGAGTTTATTGAAACAGGCGAGTAGCGCCATCTCTTGTTGTAGCATGATATGTGAAGAAAAATCTGGGTTCCTACGTCATTCTGTCCTGTGACAAAACATTTGTAGCTTAATTTCTTCCATGCCCAGTGCCACAATTTATCATTTTTTTGGCACCAACTAAGGTCCACACAAATCTTTGGTCTGTTACCTATCTATTATGTTAATGATCTTTTAATTGTTAATTCTCATCTATTTTACGCATTTAATATTAATATTAAGTATAAAGTAATAGTAAGTATTTTATATTATAGTGTTTTTATTATGCTGCATCTACGCCGCTAGGTGTCAGCACATAAAAATAACTGAATGCACCTTTAGGCGTTTGTGTTTGACTCGCCATGTACTAACACTGTCTGTGATGGATTTCAGGTAAATGTTATTACTCAAGTTACGATGCTTTTGAGGGACATGAGATAATTCTACGATCTACTTGCAGTGCTTTTGGAAAACATCACACGGAATGTACACCACAGACACATAAGGTAGGAACAACCGGGGCTAGTTGTCCCACGGGAAAGTTTTTGTGTATAACTCGACTTGAATCACACGTGCACAGATGTGTGTTTTCTCTAGCAGTGGTTTTAGGCCTACACAGTATGTTTGCTTGTAGTTGTAGGAAATGTAGAATTTATTTATGTAGTGATTAGTATTATACTAAACTAAAGCTACAGTATCATCATATTTTACTTTAGCTGTTGGACAAACAATAAAATAACGGATCATTTCCAGGTTGGGGCAAGTTGTCATCTGTTTTAAAGTTTTTTTTTTTTGTGGCTAAAGAATTTGGTACTTTTTCACGTTATTTATTTATACATACAGCAAGGTTTTTAATGTGTGATACAGAAAGTGACTTTCAAAAATAAACCTACCCTAAGAAATATTTGAGTGAAATCTTGCTCTCTGTGCAACATGAAAAAAAAAGAGAATGAGGATGAGGAATTATGAGCTTCTTCCTCCTCATTATCTTTTTTTCATGTTGCATGCCCACTTTATGTACTATCACAACATATATTCATGTAGTTGAGGTTAATATGTATTTTTTATAATGTGTATTTAATTATTACTAAAGCCATAATTATATATAATTACTATATTCAATAATGATAATTAATCGCCACGTCAGTAACTTGCCATTTCTACGGATAAAACACGTCAAGGCCAATGTGCATATTAGATTTTTTCCTTTATCCAGTAGATGGCGGTAAAACATTGTTTTACCTTTTAAATTCTCATGCTGTAGTGTAGACAGTAAAAATGAATGCATGGACAAGAGTAACTATTAATAAATAAAGTTAAACTTTTCACAAAGCATGCTTTAAAAGTTATTATATTCCAAATAACATTTCGCTTTGTTTTTTTTTGTTTTTAATCATTTTGTGATGTTTTATTGCTTTGTTTACATTTTCAAAGACATTTTTTTTCCCCAAGAAGTGTTGTAACACATTTTTTTCAACCCATATTTGTCTGTTACAAATGAGAAAATCTGCTGGAAAATAAAATGTGCCACAACTAAAATTAGAAGCTTAGAAGCAAAAGTAATCTTCATCTCTGTATCACTATCGCTGTAAAAATGTTGCTTGCTGATTCTTTGTAATTATTTGTGAAATTTACTAGCAATTTCTGTGTGAAATTTGGTGTAGAAACAAGTTTGTTTCAGCTAATTTCTAACTGGTCAAACTGATGTTGTTAAAGCTCACTCTGTGAGTTATGACACTCTCTGTTCTCCCCTAATCAGAATTAAAACAGTTAAATCAGTGTCAGATTAACTGAATTATAGTGATTTCACCATGCAAACTCCACGATAAATACGAACTCTGTTTAGAACGAAAGAGTTAGCTCACCCAAAAATGACAATTCTCTCATCATTACTCAACCGTAAACTCGGTGGAACACAAAAGATGATATTTTGGTTACCATTGACTTCCATTATAGGGACAGACATTTCTCAGGTTAGAATGATAAGAGGATGGCTACATTTTTGGGTGAACTATCATTGAAGGCACATACAACTTTAAAGCCATGTGTAGTATACATTATAAAATGACTAATAGGTTAAAGCTACATTTATTACATGGTAAAAATGTGGACATTATTTATTTAATTGTCAGTGCATCTATCATTTTAAACTTTTTAATCCTCTAAAATATTGGTCACACTTTAGTTTGGAGACCAATTTGCACTAATAACTAAGTATTAACTACAACTTTTACCTAAACTTTTAGTACAGGAAAGGATTAATGGATCTAAAAAAAAACGGTCATGCAGAATAAGCCATTAATATGTGCTTTATAAACAGCCAATATGCTAGAATTATGTTAATGCTAATAAGCAACTAGTTAATAGTAAGAATTTGTGCCCAAACTAAAGTGTTACCAAAATATTTCTACATAGCACTCTATTTAGAGGGAAACTGACATTAAAACATTCAAATAAAGCAAAGTCAATGCATGCATTAAATAGAGAAGCACCAGAAGCCATCGCACTCTGTTAATCACCTATTGTGCCAAATAAAGACTGAAGATGTTATTCAATCATACTGCGTCATTGTCATGCATTCTGTTTGTGTGTGAAAAATCCGCAAATGAATAGAGACTTCAGATAATTATTTAGCAAACAAAATGCATCTTGCATGGTGGATCTGCAGTTCTTGATCAGCAAAATGCAGACATTGATCCCGGAGGTGGCTCAGCCCCGCATGAAGGTCTCATGCTCTTCTGGATTCCAAGGCTGTCTGTTCCAGTCATAATCATCTATGAAAAAACAACTTAGAGATGCTGGGATGACCTGATAACACTCTGAGAAGCGCAAAAAAATACACCACCATACTAAATTAGCTATGTTTACAACGCCTTCGCAAACACAAGACTGTGTGTTTAGTTGGCTGTTCGCAAAAGTACGTTTTAAAACACGATTTCTGTCTGATTGCTGTATTCACATTGGATCTGGTGATTTCAGCCTTTATGATGTGACAAAATGTTATTTGATTAAAAAATAAAAACAGATTTGACTTTTTCAGACCACATCCTGGCCTATGTGATAAACTCAAAGTCAAATCTCAAAATTGTTTTTTTTTTTAAGGTTAGCCAAAATGTAATTAATTCCATTAACAGTCTTGACTGTATTTAGGAGACAAAACATCTTGGTCAAAAACGTAATTTTATTTATTTGACAGTCTTAACTGAAATCCCAAAATGAACTTTTTAAGGTTATCCAAGATTGTAAAATATGTATTTATTTATTTAAAAATCTTGACTGATATCTCAAAATAAATAAATATTGTATTTCATTTTTACAAAATAAAGTTTGAGATATTCATATATAAATAGTATATACCATAACTCTCAACTCTAAAATAAAAACGAAGGCCTTCTTGAGTTTTGAGGAATTTGGGAAATTTTTCTTCTTCAATTTGATTATCATTTGAACTAACATTTGCGTTTCAGTGTTTTGCTGTAACCTCCACGCCACTGGACAGTGAATGACAACAAATTGAGACAAATTTTGCAGAGTAATTTGATTTGATTCTTTGTTGATGCCCTGTTTAATGCATGCCAACTCACTCCGACTAATTAGGGTAAAAATGGGGATCAAATCAATGTTTAGGCTTTCTAGAAATATTGGTATAGTTTAACAATCACTTTTTTATATTTTGTCATTACTGCCATAACGTTATGTGGCTTTAGAGTTTACTCTGAGCTCTACATGCTAATCATAAAAATGTAATAAAAAACAACTTCAAGTGAAATAAATAGATTAAACATCAAGGTTCCAGTCTTGGCATTTAAGAAAGGAACTTGTGGTAAAGTTGAGGTCGCATATGTCTTTCAGTCAAGGTTTTGGAGTTACTAACGAACTGACGAGTCATTTGATAAAACTGGGACCCTAGAATATCATGC